GGTGGGTGGGGGACTTGGAAGCAGTCCCTTAACTTACTGAGGCTTGGGGCTAGGAAGGACTAAGCCCAGAATGGCTTGGATTGGTACTCGCTTAACAACCCGCGATTCTTGATTAATGATGGCAATCAGGACTGCCAGGATTGCCATCACTAAGTGATGCAACCACGTGACATCTCACTTTATGACTGCATCACTTAGCGATGGAAATTCCAGTCCCAATTGTGGTCGTAAGTCAAGGACTACCTGTATTTCCACATGCACATACATTTCACAGTAGTGAAACTATGCTATCCACACACATGCAAATAAAGAAAGAAATTTCAAAGCCACAAAAACTTTGCTTCTTGGTGCCAGTGCACAGTTTTCCAAGGCTTTGCACAGCCCTACACCATATACAAAAAATAAAAAGCCCAAATGTTAATTTATATTTAACTTTCAAAGTGTTAATGAACTTGAAAAAGTGTCTAAAGCAGTAGCAATAAAATAGCTACTAGTTGCAACAGACATATAGAGCATCTTGTTGCAACTTCTCTTGCACATGGCAGTTGGAAACATAACTGCTGCTTCTCTTGTTTTTAATCAAATCACTGTAAGCCAATGAAATAAGAATGGACTTGCTGACATTCTAACTAATGGCCTTTTGATGGTTGATATAATTCTACTTTTAAAGTTATCAACTGACTATTAATATGTATTCTCTCTCTATCAACCATATTAAGCTAAGCTCACTAACCTTGTTTTTAACTTGCATCCATGCAGCATAAGCAACTTCTGAGTCCACATGAGATAGAATTCTAAGTGACGAGATTTCTCAAAGCAAGATGCTAAAAATTCTAGGACCTTTTCTATGTACAAGTCTGGAAGCGATGAGCAGACTACATCAACTGTGTTTTACAACAAACAAGAGTATTAGTTGACAACAAATGAGTAAACCTAATTGGCAAAAGAGTCCACTTGTCATGACTTATGCAGAAAGAAAATGTTTGCATATTTAACAAAGGAAATTTAAGGCAAGGAAATGCTATATTGCATGACATAATTTTTTTTCAATTTCCCCTTTTTGTTCTGTGTTGTTTAATAATTAGAGAATTTCTACTCATTTAAAATACCCAAATTATTCAGGATATTATCTTTTCCCTTTTCTTTAGTACTTACACAAATCAAGTTTTGCTAACAGCTTAGAAATTTAGGAAATCTGGTTTTCTGCAACCATCACATTAAACTAGTAATAGTAGTCCAGCTTACTTTCATCATATGGCACAGTTTCTAGAACCTCTTGAATCATTTTCTTCTCATTTAGTCTAAAAGCCATGACAATAGCCTTAGTGTACTCCTTTTGGTGCAATACTTTACGAATATTGCTAGGGGTGATGTCAATTTCTAAGTCAAATGGATCAAAGGTGAGACTAGAGTCTAAAGAGTATATAAGAAGGCCTTCTGTAGTAGTTGCTGCCCAATTTCTTCCTGAAAGAGAAGCACAGTGATATTAGCTAAAATTATGGAAGTGAAGGAGGGCAGGTGGACAGGCAGGGAACTGAAGAACATTTTTCAAGCAATGAAAAGATCCTCCAAAAACCTACCAGTAGGAGAAAAGCGGAGGCAGGTCACTCTTATTTCTGGTTTAAAATGCCGAGAACTCATATCACCTGAAAATAAAGCAAAATGCAACTCAGTAACTTCCTACGTGTATCTTGCACAAACCAGTGCTGACACGGTAAGTTGACTGTTTCTACAATAAGTGTCGCAAGAAAGAGAGAGAGACAATTACATTTCTTATTTAAAAAATAAAAAATAAAAATGTGTATCCCATCTTTCCTCCAGGAGCTTAAGCTGGTGGACAGGGCATTTCCTCCATCAATATTCCCCCACTCCCACCCCAAACAACCACCCTGGGAAGTAACTATCCTTGTTCAGCATATTAACCAGTACAAATGTTTATGTGGTATATGTTTATATAGTTGTTACCATCAAAGCAACCATATCTGAACTATATCAGTTCAGAGGTAAACATTTAAATTTGTCAGTTGGCAACTTTAGAAACCCTTAGAAAACAGATTCAGATCACAGTGTTGATTGATCAAGCCCATTTTGCCTTGTCATAAATTATTCCAAATTAATTACTGAAATACAGGCAACATAGGTAGGAGGAGAAAAGAGGGGGAAAGGAGGGGAGAAGCAATATGTATACTGTTACACGGTAAGGGCAGTAGTGAAAACGCTATTGGTTACTATAACACAAGAGTTACTACATAACTATATTAGCTAAAACATCAGAGACAATGAAAAAGATTTTTATAACACCCTCAATATGTTGAAATATTTTCCAATGACCATAACCTGGGGCAATGCTTCTCATTCTCCAATAAAGACACTGTGATTGATCTCCAAACTATAAGATTCAATCATTTTATCAAGTGAGAGTGTGTGTACAAAAAGACTTGTTTAAAACTTCACCATTTTCATCTCTCATTACTCAACAGGAAAAAACCCTAACCTTATAGACATGACTTGGTGAGCCTTACTTAAAATTAACTGATACCTCTCTTAACTCCTGGAAGAGGAATGATAACACCATCATCATCGCCATTTCCCTCTTCTATTAATGCCAAAATTCAGTCATCTTCCTGCGATCCAAATACTCCTGTAAAATAAAGTATATGACGACATAGCCTATTTCACATTCCAGATATGTTTG